GTGCACTTGCATAATCAGGACAAATTTAAGCCATGGCTTTATCTGTACACTAAAGAAGAAGAGAAGCCCAGGCAGCAGAGTGAGACCCTGTCTCCGCACGCCGTTCCTGCTCCCTGGAACACACCTCACCTCGTCTCCAGCCAAATCTCACTCATCTCTCAGAATTCAACTTGGATGTTCCCTCCTACAGGAATCCCACCAGATTGGCGCCTCTCAGGTCAAGAGCCTCTCTGGGCCCCGAGGGCCTAGTGGGCTACCACCATGCCAGTGGTGATCACTCTGGATCTGTGTCCCCCATAACACACCACCTTCAGAACGAGCACATGAGTGAGAAAGGAGAGGTGAGTCATTAGGGGAAACAGTGTGTTCTGTGGTCTTGGAACCATGGAGAAGGGAATGGGGATCCAGGTCAGTATCAGCATTTGAAAATACTTCCAAAGGGGGTGGCACCTGTGGGAAACAGTGTGTTCTGTGGTCTTGGAACCATGGGGAAGGGAATGGGGATCCAGGTCAGTATCAGCATTTGAAAATACTTCCAAAGGGGCGGCACCTGTGCCTCCGTGAGTAGGGGGCCCACCCCATATACCGAGGGTGATGAGTTCAAACCCAGCCCCAGCCAAACTGCAAGAAAAAAATAGCTGGGCATTGTAGTGGGCTCCTGTAGTCCCAGCTACTCGGGAGGCTGAGGCAAGAGAATCGCCTAAGCCCAAGAACTGGAGGTTGCTATAAGCTGTGACACCACAGCACTCTACTGAGGGCGACAAACTGAGACTCTGTCTCTAAAAAAAAGAAAGAAAAAAACTGAAGAATTGAAGAATTATAGCTCACTAACTAGCTGAGGACACCCTAAGAGGTGGCAGGAGGTGTGCAAACAGGTATCAGAAACAGCTTCCCTCAGCCCCCTCCTTTACACAGTGAGGATGGACAGAGGTTGGTCCTAGCTCCAGGTCTCTACCTGCTGTCCCCACCCTGGCTATTCTACCAGCCTCAAATTCCCCCCTCTGGCTCAAGGCTGCCCAGGGGGCACTGGAGTAAGAGCTGTCCCCACTGCTTTGGCCACAATTTCCTGGGGTCCAGGGAACCCAGTGGAGCTTTAGGGCTGTGCACTCTGTGAGAAAGCTGAGGGCACATGAAAGCCTCCAAAGGCATCATGTGGACTCAGCCAAGGCTGAGCAGATGCCACACAAGGCCATAGGCAGGCTGGCATTTGCTCAGAACCCTCTGCACACCCAGCCCAGGTGCTCCTACCTTGGTCAGATCAGAGTGACCCAGAGATCCTGTACTCCGGCACCCACTTCATCCCACTGCCCAGAACCACTGCCCTGGTGCCACACAGTAGCAGGACCCTCCCAGCTCTGGAATCACATGCTCCCCACCCAGCAAAGGCCTCTGGGAGGGGCATAGAGCCTTGGGCTTTTCTTCTAGTCAGTGTCAAGCAGCGCAGCCATCCAGAGAAGCAGCAGAGATGGGAGGGGCACAGGGCCAGGGGTGAGGAAGGCAAGGGGAGGGCAGGTGCCACAAGGAGGGCCCAGGATGCACTCACACTGGGGTCTGGAGCCCCATGCTCCCCTTCAGCTCTGTGGGGGCCCTGGCCCCATCTCAGCTGGCCACACTTTCCCCATCACAGGGTAGATAGTGCTAGAAAGGGGGAGATGGGCCCTGGAGCAGAGAAGCTGGCTCTTAACTACCTAAGGTCAGGGCAGCCGAGACACCAGCAGACACAAAGATGGGGCAGGTGAGAAATGACAGACACAGAGGAGGAGCTAGAGCCAGGGAGAGGGTCACAGTGAGATCCACAGGTAAGATGGAGTTCAGCTTAAGAGACCTAGAGAAGGTGAGGGGAAAGATTAGTGAGAGGATGGGAGCCAAGTAACAAGAGTTAGGAAGAAAGGCCAAGACAGACAAGAGACACAGTGCGGGGTCCCCAAAACACCCCAACCCTACCCCCACCACCTCATGAATGCCAGTAGGCTCACTATGGGTCCCTCCCCGCAGCAGGGCTTTGCTCCCAGTCACTGATTCCCAGCAAGTCCCATGTGAACAACCTCAGCCCTTGCAGCCCCCAAGCACCTCTGTGGTAGTGGAAGCCACTGGCACGTCCATGAAGGTGGCATCTGGCCCCTAACCTATAGCCCACAGCTTAACAGGGCCTAACATACTTCCCCACACACTCCAGCTTGATGTTTGCCAAGGAACACGGACCATAGGCTGGCCCAGGGGAGGTCCCCAGGGTGCAAAGAGTCCCCACCACTAGCAAGAGCACCGAGAGTGGGAAGACCCTCTGGTCCAGTCACTGGGGACCCAGGGAAAGGGCCTCGCTGGCCAAAGCTAGAACCATCTACTCCCCTACCCCGGGGCAGAGGAAGGGAAAGGGCTTTCTCTCCTTATATCCCAGGACCCTCCCCTGCTCAAACACCTTTTATGACTCCTCATTGCTTTTCAGATTTTCTAACTCATCCTGGATTTACCCCCTTTCCAGCCAACCCATGGGAAGGAATTGAGGCACAAAGAGATTAAGTAACTTGCCCCCAAGGAAAATTAGGGCCAATCTATATGTCCAATATGAGCATCCCTAGTGGATGTTAGTAAAATGGCATGAAAAACATTCCAGGCAGAAGCAACATTAAATGCAAAGGCTGAGAGGCTAAAGGGTCGACACAAGCATGTCAGGAGAACCCTGGAAGAAGGTGAAGGGATTTGGTAAAAGCTGCAAGTGTCCAGAAGTGAACATATTGCAGAGAACAGGACTGGGGACCTGGAGGCCAGGGAGGAGCCTGAGGCCTGTGTCCAGAAGTAAGGCAGGTGAGGGCGGATATGGGGCTCTGAGAAGGCCTTGGCTTGGGAAACAGTGCCACCTCGTGGGACTTCTTGGAACTGCATCACCCTCTTTTCATTGGTTCATTCACCAGACATTTCTTATGAACCCATTAGTTCCCACAGTATTTGACAACCAGAGGATCTTTTTTTTTCTTTTTTTTTTTTTGAGACCCTCAGTAGAGTGCCACAGCGTCATAGCTCACAGCAACCTCAAACTCGTGGGCTCAAGTGATTCTCTTGCCTCAGCCTCCCAAGTAGCTGGGACTACAGGCACCCACCGTGATGCCTGGCTATTTTTTGTTGCAGTTATCATTGTTGTTTAGCGGGTCCAGGTTGGTTCAAACCCGCCAACCACAGTGTATGTGGCTGCCACCGTAACCACTGTGCTACAGGCGCCGAGCCCAGAGGATTTTTTTTTTTTTTTTTTTTTGAGATAGGAGCCTCAAGCTGTCCGCCCTGAGTGCCGTGGCATCTCAGTTCACAGCAACCTTCAACTGCTGGGCTCAAGCGAGTCGCCTGCCTCTGCCTCCCAGCCATCATTGTTGTTTTGGCGGGCCGGGCTGGATTTGAACCCGCCACCTTGGGTGTACATGGCTGGCGCCTTAGCCACTTGAGCCACAGGCACCGAGCCAGGATCATTTTTTAATAGTGCCTTCCTATAAAATAAAATTATTTTCAGCACTTATCATTAAGTGAAACAAATAATAACGATGACCACTTAAGAAATGAAAGTCACAATGTATTTACTGTCTGTATTAATATTTTATGTAAGTTATTGTTCAGTAACTAAGAAGTGAATTCTAATAAAACTGAAATATCTGCAAACAGCACAATTTAAGAAGCCTCTAAACTGTACCACTGATGTAATATTTTTCTTAATTTTTAAACAATTAAAATAATGTTTGCATGTTAGTATTATTCAAATTCAGTAAGATAGTTCATATACAAACCAATACATGCATTTACCAACACAAATATATGTCATGGTTTACAAGGCATCTCTGTTATAAATTTTAAACACAAGGCATCTCCAAGCAGTCACACAGAATGACAAAGTTGAAGTAACTCCAGTTGCACGTCTTCAGCTTTACAATCACTGCCCCCTCATCATCTGTTCCGAGTGTAAACACAGGAAGCTATGCTCTCGTGCACTTAGAAACTCTCAAACATTTCCAAGCCTCTGCAAACCTGCTCTCAAAACCACTGCACGTAGCTAAATCTGTGTCTGGGGCTGGCTGTGTAACTGAGATTCTCCAAATGAACTTCATGTAGAATACAAAGGTCATTAATGGGTAAGTAATAAAATATGTTAATTTAAGTGTACATATAAATTATTAAACTCAGTGGTAAATAGTAAAGTCTAGTAAACAGAATAGGTCTGTATCTGAGTTAATAGTATTGTCACAGCATCAATTCCTGGTTTGAAAGTGTTCACATGTCACCAAGGCTCTGGGGTTCCTCTCTGCCATTACCTACCTGGGCCTTCGTTCCTGTCCCATGCCCACAGGCCCATAAAATAGCAACAGGTGCCCCAGATCTCCTGGCTTCACACTACAAATAAAAAGCAAGAAAATGCTTCCCAGAAGCCCCAGCAATTCTTGCCTCTGGACAAGCAAGTTCCACCCCTTCCCTGAGCCCATCACTGTGCCAAGAGCTCCAGGCACTGGCTGGGGCTGAGGGTGGAGCCAGATTCAGCTGAGGAAGGGTGTGGGGTATGATGCACACTCAGAAATGAAACAACAGGGCCCTGGCTCCATGTCACCACACCTGTTGGGTTCTGGGTTTCAACACCCCAATTTCCCATGTGGGCAAACTGAGGCAGCAAGACTTAAGGATGTTCTTCTGAGTGGGATGGAGCTAGCAATTGGGGCACCAGGTGGTGAAGACCCCAGCGGGGTGGGGGCTGTGGAATGAGGCAGTTGGTAAAATCTCCACAGGTGAAACCAGTGGGCATCTCGTGCAATCCATACAAGCCCATGGTCCCTTGGCCCTCACACCCACCCAGCCTCAGTTTCCCCACTCTACCTAAGTCCTTCACTCACATGAAGATGCTCCTAGGGCAGAGAAGTAGGAAAACCAGCCCTATCTTGCCGTAGGTCACTTCCAAGCTCTTCTCATAACCCAGCCCCCTCTCCTGGCTCCTCCCCTCGCCCCAGCAAAGATGACTACACACAAACAAGAGAAGCTGAGTTTATTCCAAGGATGTACTTCTTGCCATCTGAGAATTCCCAGGGTCTTCCCCCTTCAGCCTGGCCCTCTCAGGACCCCCCATTGTTCCCCAGGCAGAGAGGGGACAGGCAGGGAATGAGGCCTCAGACTCAACAGCCACAGCCCAGTTGGTAGGAAAAGCACTGAGCTGACCTCCACCTAACTCAAGGGCAGAAGATGAAAAGCAGGAGTGGGGTCCACAGTCTCTGAGCAGCCAGGGCTCAGCCACATGCAGCCTCGGCTCCCTGTGCGCACCCCGGGAGGCCCTCAGCCTTGCTTGCCAAGCCGTAGTAACAGGCCCGCATGCGCTGCTCCACGGTCTGGAAGTCTGGGCGATCCTCCCACCTGTGGGAGGTAGATCCAGCCATTGACCACACCCCAGAATCCGACTATAGCAGGACGCTGGCGAGTGTGGGACCATTGGGGTGGTAGAACACTGGGCATAAGTGCGCTGGGACTGGGTGTTGCTGTTGATGTACAGGATGCTGGGATAACCAGGGAGTGAGTTCTGACCACTGACGACTTAGGGAATGGATATAATTGGGTTTCAAAGTGGCCACTATCAACCACAGGGAATGGGTACTGAATGCTGAAGCAATGAGTGTGTGCCCAGGGCCGGAGTACTTATGTGCTCAACACAGGCTTAGATGGGTATAAGTACATGGCCCATAATCAAAGAGAAGGTTGAAGTACTGCAGGTGAGTGGGGAGCTGGAGTGTTAGCTGAAGTACAGTTCCAGTGGGGAGCTGGAGTGTTAATGGTGCTCTGTATAGGATATCCCCATGCTGAGCCAGGGTGTTGGTGCACTGAGTGTTTCCTGATAGAGGCTGGGTGAATACATGTTGGAGAAGGGCGGGCTGATCAATTAGAGTGTTTTGACCTCAATATCCTAAGCATTAGCCAGTAGGGTAGCAAACACTGGAGCGTCCACACGTTGCATGGTCAGTGAGGACGTCAGCTTGTTTGGGTACATGTTGCCTGTCATCTAATGATGAGGTTAGGAGTTGGGATGTTCATGTGTGAAGCTTCAACCAGAGGCAGGGTACTGACATATGAGTACTGACATACCCCAGTGTTGGCTTATCTGGGAATTAGGCATAGAGAGCTGGCTGGTGGGGCCCTGCAGTGTCCAATACTAGAGAATTATCTGACACCCTGAGCACTGGCGTCATACATTGGGCAGAGTATGGACTTATTGGAGAATTGCAGGGTCCTTGTGCTGTGAGTTCACTGGGGGCGCTGAGGTTTTAGACACTGGATCATTTCCATAGGCAGGAGGGCAGGGCGTTGCCCGCTGGGGCAGCCTGGGGCCAGCATGTTCACAGGTGAACTCAAGAGGAGGAAACTAAAGGTACTACAGGCTGGAAAAGCCATGAGCTGGACGAGGGTCTCCAGGTGGGATGACATTGGGTAGAGCTACATTTACACCCACTGATCAGGCATCAGGACCTCCTGCCCCAGGCCCAGAGGTTGTTCAGCCAGGTCCCCTCCCATCTAGGACTCACTTGTAGGTCCAGCAGTCAGTCATGAGTGAGTACAATTCAGGCGGACACTCCGGTGGGCACTCCATCCGCTTGCCTTGGTCGATAAAGCTCATGACCTCAGGACCCTTCATCTTCTGCTCAGGGCAATGTCAAGGCACATGTGAGTAACCAGGGGCCTCCCTCCTGCCTTGCCCCACCCACCACCTGTCCACTTCTGCCACCTGCCTTGTAGGGCTTCTGGCCATAGGACAAGGCCTCCCACATGGTGACTCCGTAGCTCCAGACGTCACTGCGGCTGGAGAACTTGCGGAAGTTGATGCACTCGGGCGCGTACCACTTGAGCGGCCACTTTCCTGCTGAGCGGGCCTGAAGAGGAGGAGATGCTGCTGGGGCAGGACTTGGGGACCCACCACCCACCCACCCATCCCCCTGGGCACCACTGGGCCAGAGCTCACAGTATAGTAACTGTCGTCAGCACCCAGAGCCTTGGAGAGGCCAAAGTCGCTGATCTTGGCATAGTGCCGGTTGACCAGCAGAACATTGCGGGCAGCCAGGTCACGGTGCACAAAGTTCTTCTCCTCCAGGTACTTCATTCCCATGGACACCTGGTGCAGCAGCTCGGCCACATTGCTGACAGGGATCTCCTCCCTGGTGAACAGAGCAAGGGGGCAGCTGGGAGAAGACAGCCCAGGGTCCCAGGGAGCAAAGCCCTCGTCTCCGCCTCAGCTGAGCACAAGCCAGATCACCACGTGCTCAACAGATGCCTTCCAAGCACCTGCAATGTGTTGGGTGTGGCACTAGGGACAGTTGTGAACAAAGCAGGCAAAAGCCTGCCTCATCCAGTCTCGAGACTATGTAACATGCCAGGCTACCATTACCAAAGTCACACCCCTGCCTACGCCCTTCGGGTGTCATGGGCTCCTCAAAGGTAACACAGCCTGTCCATGCACACACACAGGCACATGCTGGCTCCCCCACCCCATCTTCTCCAGCAGTCCTATCTACAGTGCTGCCCTCCTTCTCTCACATCCAAATAAGCCTGGCAGCTCTGCCCTCAGATTCTCTCTAGAATCCCCCATTTCATCCCACCTCTGCTTCTGCCACCCTGCCACTGGCAGCCCTATCCTCACTCACCTGGGCTGGAGTGGTCAGCTCTGCCTGGACCTCCCAGCCCTGAGCCAGGTCCTGCCACTCCTCTGCTCACAGCCCCCCAGGTTCCCCCTCAGGGTCAAAGTCCAAGTCCCCCTTCTTATACCTATAAGGCCCTGCACAACCTGCCCCACCTCAGCTCCCTGCCCACTGCCATGTCACACCAGGTAGGGGCCTCAGGGCCTTTGCACGGCTGTGCCCTCTGCCAGGAATACTCTCCCCCAGAGCTGTGCCTGGTGGCCTCCCTCAGTTTGCTCCCTGCTCACCACACCTCCCACCCCAGAATGGGTGGCTACACTCATTCCCACAGCACCACCTTCCAACATACTCCTGATTTTATCATGATTATTTATTGCCTCTCTTCTCCATCCTGAAAACAGGGCAAAGATCTTACCCTCTTTTATTGGCTAATAAATCCCAAGTGCTAGTAACAGTTCCTGTCACAAAGTGCCCAATGAGCTCCTGTCCAATGACTGAATGCATGAGCCAGGGACACACTCCCGGCACACGACGGTATGTGCGCCAGCAAGAGTGGACATTAGCAGCGCATGCATGTCTGTGAGGGGAAGAGTTCATGTCTATGAGGGGAAGAGTTTGGGGCACAAGGGAACACAAATGAAACTGCAAACATTTCAGTAAAGGGGCAAACAGCAAATGTTCTCTGGTCTCCATCACATATTCTTCTTTGTTTTAGGTCCTAGTTTTTTTTTTTAACACTTTAAAAAGGTAAAACCATGCAATACAAAAACAATGCCGTTTGCTGTCCCCGCGTTAGGCTCCAGACAATCAAAGATGGGCAGCTTCCTGTGGGGCCTGAGTTTGGCCCAGAGAGTCTGGGTGACAGTGATGGAGCTAATAGCTATAAAGTTCTCACTGTTCTAGCACTTTATAAGTATGGACTCATTTAATCCCCAAGACCCCCCTGAGGTAGATCCTGCCATCTCCACTGTGGTATAAACGGGGAAACTGAGGGAGGACAGCTCTGCCTGGTGGGCCCAAGTATGTTCAGGGGTATAGCGTGTGTCCATGAAGATGTAAAAACAGGTGTGAGCACATGGGGTGGTGTGCGACGGGAACAAGCATGGGCACATTCCCAGGGATGGGCACCTATGTCCCTCTTTCCCTGAGGGTCCCCACCCAGCCCGTAGCCCAGCCCCCAGGGGCTCACTTCTTGCCAACCAGGAACTTGTGCAGGGGCCCTCCGCCTGCCATCTCCATGACCAGCATGAGGGCCTCAGCCTGGCAGACGCCAATGAGCCGCACAATGTACGGGTTGTCCAGCTGGTGCATGATCTGTGCCTCTCGCATCATCTCGTCCTTGTCCGTCTTCTCCGTGCCCTGCTTCAGCACCTTGATGGCCACGTCGATCTGCTTCCTGCTCAGGTGGAGGACCCGACAGGGAGGCGTATGGGTGAGCAGCCCCAGCCCTGCTCCCACCCACCTGGTGTCTCTCTTCCTCCCTAAGTTGTCTGGTGGACACTGGTTCCCTGCCCAGGTCAGGGCCAAGGAGCTCATTCCCTGGCTGCTAGGAGTGTCCTCTGAGGATAGCTTGCAGCCAAGTCCCTCAGCTGGAACTACCCAGCACTGAAAAGAAGCCCTCATTCAGTCTCCCTCTCCAGGGCAGCCTGTATCATGGCTCGTGGATGTAGGGCCAGGGGCCTCTCTGCAGCGCTCCAGGGACGGGTGCCTGTCCTTAGCCAGCCTCTCCCAGGCCCAGGCCTGCATCTCTGGCTCCCTCTCAGGTGTCCGGAGCTCTCTGGGGAACCCTCCAATGTGTTTCCTGCTCCTTCCCCACAGCCTGGGGTCCCACTCCCCTCTACTCCCCAGGCAGCAGTGCATCCAGCACGGCAGGGGTGGCCATACTTGCGCATGCGGTAGACGCCCTGGCGCACTGAGCCAAAATTGCCACAGCCAAGTTCAATGTCAGCTACGAGAAGGTTCTCACGCTTCAGGAAGAGTTTCTTGTCCTTGAGTTCCTCGGGGTCACTGTAGGGGCTCTCATACACACTCGTGTCCATGGGCATCGGCCGCTGTTTGTCTGAAGACGCTAGGCGCGCTGGGCACACACACAGCCACACACCCGCAGGTCAGGGGCAGGGAGAGGACAGAGGGGTGGGGGGAAATTCTCAGCCCCTACAAGGTTTGTGCCCATACAAGTGTGTGCTCCACAAGGGCATGCACAGCACATGTGTGCACATGCGTGTTCATGTGTGTATTGATGTGCATGCACTTGCACACACTCCTGGTCACGGCTGTGGGTGCCCTGTGAAGCCATGAACGAGTAGACTCCAGAGGCAAGAGCATCAGTATCCGTGTGTCATCACTAGCATGTCAACTGCGGCACGTGTGTGTGCACGTTCACACCTGCACACTTGTTGAGACCTGCCCGTGTCTATGTTCACACCACGCAGCCATGTTTACAACACCTCCACAGGTGAGCATCTGGGGGCACGTGTAACCAGGTGTGTTCTCTGCACACACGTGGGTAAGTGAAAAATATGAGCACCCACAGCAGAGTGTTAGGAACATGGGCTCCGAAGCCTGTCTGTCTGGGCTCAAATCCCACCATCAGCCCTGCCTGGCTGCGGGACCTCAGACAGCACTTCCCTGCCTCTCTCACCTGTGCAAAGAGTAGTTACCAACACCACTTCCTGTGGCATGCAGGGAGGGTGCAAGGAGCTCACACAGTGACCTTGGAACGTGACTGGCACACTGCAGGAGCTCAACAAATGTGTGGTGTGCACAGGGAGCCCCAGGTGTGGGCAGCTGTACCCCTGTCCTGGAATGCACTCACTGGGGCAGGCCAAGTCAGCCACAGGCCTAGCCTGACCCATGTGGTCCCCAATGAAACCCCACAGCCCAGACTGGCAGAAGCCCCACACACACCCCACACCTCTGCTAGCTCACCTGGTTCAGGTGTGTATCCATCTGAGTTGAGGGTGTCGACCCGTCTCTGAGGCTAAAGGTCACAGGGTCAACAATAGTCAACAATCTCAAGCTGGGGCTCCCAGCCTCTCCCATGTGACCCATGTACTCTGAGGACTCCCCAGAGACAAGGCCAGAGGCACCCTCTTCCCCACCATCACACCCCACCATCTATCCCAGCCTTCCCTGGGAGCCGACCCACCCGGCTTTGCCCTAGCCCCCAGTTCTGCAGAGGTGCAGACTCACGTGGGTTAAGGTGGAGGGGTGTGCTGGGAGCGTGGGAGCAGCAGCCTCTGGAGACAGAAAGGGCAGTGAGCAGTGGGGGCTTGGCTGCAGCCCCACCGGCCACCCTCCCACCTGCCTGCCACACACCTGAGGTGGCGCTATTGTTGGGACAGGCCTCCTTCAGGCAGTAGATGAGCCCATCAGCCTTCAGCTTCAGGTACTCCACTAGCTGTGGGGAGCAAGCAGCTGGCAGGGGCTCCTGTTCTCCCCAAGAGCCCCGTCTGAGCACAGCATCTCCCTGAGAACAGGGTGAGTTGGTAGCCTACCTGCCAAAGCGTGTCAAACTTGGTCCCTTCAGGAATGCAGTACTTGCCCGCCTTGTCCTGGCTGATGAGGTAGTGGTACACAGTCTTCCCATAGATGAGGGACAGTGCGTATGTGCCCTGCTCCTTCCGGGGCCTCAGCCTAGAGCAGCAAGGCAGGGATGTCACCCCAGCAGCCACCTAGGGCCCTCCTACTGTGCCTCTGTTTCACACACAGGCGCATACACCAATGCCCAAAACCCCCATGCAAAGCCAGGCTCGGTGGCTTATGCCTGTAATTCTAGTACTCTGGGAGGCTGAGGCAGGTGGATTGCTTGAGCTTATGAATTAGAGAGCAAGAACAAGACCCTGTCTCTAAAAATAGCCAGACATTGTGGTGGGTGCTTGTAGTCCCAGTTACTTGGGAGGCTGAGGCAAGAAAATCACTTGAGGCCAAGAGTTTGGGGTTGCTATGAACTGTAATGCCACAGCACTCTACTGAGGGTAACAAAGTAAGACTGTCTCAAAAAAAAAAAAAAGAACATGGAAAAGTGGCAAGGACTAGGGAAGCTGAGGGGAGGCTCTGCTCAACCTTCGGACAGCTAGTAATCAGCAGTGGGTGAAGCAGGGTTGGGGGGGCTCAGGCATGTTCACAGGGAGATATATAGTTGTCCAAGGGCAGACAAGCGGCCATTCACAGTGACATTCACTCCAGCATAGTCAGACACTCAGTCACCCATGGCTGGAGGAGACTCAGCCATGGGTCTTGGTGGACACCTATCCACAAAGGAACATCTGGTCCACCACAGTGGAATACCAGACACCTGCTATTCACTGGAGGACACAGTCATCCACAGATCCCTTGGTCATCAAGGGAAACATTTGGCCACACACGGACAACCGTGCAGGAATACTTAGCCGTCTACGGCAAACACACAGCCTTCAACAGGTAAGCTTAAAGCCATTCTCTTGGGGAGAGAAAGTCATTTCTACCCAAAGACCTACACAGAAAAGTATAACTCCATGACTAGCTCACAGGGCACCTTTTCATCACAATAGACTGAGCAGTAATCATAATAGACTAAGCTTTGATAGAATGAGAACTTTGGTTACTGTCTGGCTGGAAGTTTTTCAAAATAAATATAGAAATCTTCCATGTTTATGATGGAAATTGAACCCCTCCAAATAGAATAAGAACCTGTCCCCCTGGGGCAGTGCCTGTGGCTCAAAGGAGTAGGGTGCTGGCCCCCTATGCCAGAGGTGGTGGGTTCAAACCCAGCCCTGGCCAAAAACTGAAAAAAAAAAAAGAATAAGAAGAAGAACCTGTCCACCCATTCCCACCGGCCCCAAGTACACACAACAATTTAGTCAGATACCAGCACCCTTGCATTAAATCTCACAGTGAAACCAGTCAACATTTCCCACAGAACCATTTTGTTTTGAGTCACTAGCATGAGGCTCCATTCTGGGGTTCAGTGTATACTTCCAGTGAATAAGACAGGGCAGCTGGCCTGGAGGTCTCAGAGCTATGGAAGCTGGAAGCACTGACCATTGATCTCAGGGATTAATGGCTTGCCAAGTGGGCACTCTCTAACATGCAAATTCTCAGACAGGATTTGGGCCCTGTCCATGGATGTTCATTCACTGGATAAATATCTACTGAGTCTCAACCACAGGCCAGGCACTCTTCTGAGGGCAGGGATAGGGTAATGAGACAGATGTGGGTCCACCTTGCAATTAGGCCCATCCTTTGGCCAAAGGAACACTCTGGAAATATCTCCAGAGTGAAGGGCACAGGGTCAACTGCGACCATCCCATTTATTCCTCAACAGCATGTTCCCCAAAGAACAACACAATGAAGGATGGTATAGTTCCCAGGCTAGCCCACAACAATCTGGGGATATAGAGAGATATGTAAATTGGGGCGGGAGGAATCATGAGGGAGCACCAAGGGCAAGGAAGAGAACCTCAAAACAAAAATAGGAAGTATCCCATAGATAGAAAATCACTTCCCTCACTATGCTGGTGGGCTAGCCTGGAGGTTATAGTCTCTAGTGATTAGTCATCATGTGAAAATATGTTTTACATAACAACCTTAAATTTTAAACTGGCAACAGAAACTCAACACCAAGCTTGGGAACTCTGTGACCACAACCATGTGAATGTGCCCAGGCTAGCCTGCTGGGTGATGATGGCACTGGAGCCAGTTCGTCCTCATCACACTGAGCCAACAGCCAGGCACATGAGCGTGGCCATCCCAAATTATTCAATCCCAGCCCAGCTAACCCAAGCAAAAAGAATTATGCAACTGGCTGACAGAATGATGAGAATTAATAAACTGCTGGTTTGAGCCAGTAATTTTTAGGGCAGTTTATTACACAGCAAAAGCTAACTGATCGAAATGCAAAGGTTTCCTCTTAGAGGAAAAAAACCCTATCTTAAGTTGTTCAAAAGCTGTCCTTGCAGCTGGGCATCACCTGCAACATGCATTGAGGAGTTCCCTCAGAAGCCTTAGAAACTTCACTCCACTTTACAGAGTAAATCTGTAAGATAGGGTGAAAAATTATTTTATCAGCCGACAAAAGAACCTTGGGGAGGGAAATGCTTCTGTGGGAGACCTTAGTAATTGTGTAGGCCTTACATGGGTGGAGAAATCAAGGGAATGGTCTTCTCCCCAAGTGGGCTAGGGGAGAAAGGTGACAGTGAGGATTCCACAAGGCAGGGTGTCAGGCCAAGAAGCTCTCAGGGGACAGGAGGCACCAGGAACTGTTCCTCCAGGTTTCTTAGGGGAGAATACTGGACCTCCTGAGGTCATGGGAGAAAAGCAAGCACAAGCTTCTCTATAACTGAAGGCCAGAGCAACCTCAGCTGACATCTGGATGACATCTGTTACACAAAAGAACCTGTGTCCAAGCCAGAGGGCAGCAGCCCCAACAGGACTTTCAAACACCCAGTAGAGTTTTTAAAATAGTGTTAGAGATTCTTTCACAATAATAAACTCACAAACACACACACTCACCCACATATAATAAGAGCAAACTGAAAGTCACAGTAGTAGAGGGCAAAAATAAAGAAAATGAAAACAAGAGCTAACACTGAATACATTTTTCATATACTGTTCTATGGCTTTACCTATATTAATTTGTGTAATCCTTCTAACAGACCTTCGGTAGCTACTGCTATCATCTGCGGACAGTTAGAGGGAGTTGCTTCAACACCCTCCAGGGCTCCCACCTCACTCAGGGAAGTCACCTCCCTGCCTCCCATTCTCACCCTCATGACTTGCCTCCAGGCACAGTGGCCTCAGTATTTCTCAAATGCACCAAATAAGGTTCCTGCCTCCTGATCTTTCCACTCGCCAATCTGTTTGGCAGGAACATCCTTCAACCTGAAATCTACATAGCTCACTCTAACCCCCTGTGGTTCTCAACTCAAAAATCAGCTTCTCAGAGCTGCTCACATCTGTAATCCTAGCACTCAGAGAAGCAAGGTGGGTGGATTGCTTAGGCTCAGTTGTTCAAGACCACCTGAGCAAGAGTGAGACTCCCATCTCTGCTAAATGTATAGAAAAAACTAGGAGGACATAGTGGTGGGCACCTGTAGTCCCAACTACTCTGAAGGCCCAGGCAAGACGATGGCTTGAGCCCAAGAGACTGAGGTTGCTGAAAGCTATGACTGAGGTTGCTCTACCCCAGGCAACAGAGTGAGACTCTGTCTATTAAAAAAAAATCAGCTTCTCAGAAAGGCCTCCTCTGGCCACCTAATCTAAAATTGCAACCTCCTCCCACCCAAACACATAGAACTAACCATCATCTGGCACAGTCCATATCTGACTGATTCACTCCGCATTTTGTCTACCTGCCCCATGAGGACAGGCACTTGCATTGGGTTCGCTGCCATGCCATCAGTGACTGGTACACAGTAAGTATTCAGTAAATGCTAAAGGCAGACAAGTTCGGCTGCTTGCCCAGAGTCTCCCCAGCCAGTAGTAGGTGACAGAAGCTGTATTTTAACCCAGCCCACTCAACTACCAGGGCTCTCCTAGTCGCTGCCACTACTTTTCTTAGCGCATGTGAGCACAGGCACACCCCTCCCGGCCCATCTGTACCTTCAGGTCTGCCCCAGCCCCTACCCAGTCCCAGGCCCCAGGCCCCACATACAGGAACTTGCCGTCAGTCTGCGACCCCGAGTAGAGCTTGCGCTCAGCCTCCTCACGCGTCAGGCTGCTGTGGTACCAGGGCATCCGCTCGTGGGCGGTCGTGGCAATGAGCTTTTCCACCTGGGGGGCCTGGCTGATGATAGCCTGTTCCAGCGCTTCACCCTGGGGAAGGAGAGCAAGAGGATTGTAGGTAGCCACAGGAACCCCCTTCCATCTGCAGGGTCCTCCCGATCACCCTGTCCCATAAGATCCACCACCACCACCACCCCCGCCCACCCCACTCGGCTGTCCCTATGGTTGCGTTGTGCAGTTGTTGCAGACAACCGCCGCCTTCTCCACAGTCCCCTCTCCAATCCATCCAGGAGGAACCAGGCACCAGGCCCCACCTTCCAGCCTGGCCCCAAGCGCATTTCCAGCTTGAAGGTTCGATATAGGTGGGTGCGCACCGCGCTGTCGGAGTCGTGCGGGCCATGGAAGACTTCAGCCATGGTCCCAGAGGGCCGCCCTACCTTGGGGTGCACGCTCGCCCCGCGCACCATTTTCTCAGGCCCTGACCGCAGTCCAAGTGTCGCCCTCACCGGACCCCTCCACCGCCCCTCCCCTGGGTGCCGCCCCCTTCAGATTCCAAATCAGACGGCTGGCCGAAGGCGACCGCTCCTTCTCTCCCCAGAATCCCCACGCCGGGCCCCGGCCCCAGTGCTCTCACCTCCAGCTTCCACGTCTGGCGCACGTAGTCGCGTACCATGGCGTCGCGCAGGTTGTCGAAGACGCCGGGCTGCGGCTCTAGGCCGGATGGCCGGTTGCACGGCTTACGCAGGTTGCAGGGCAGCCCGTCGGGGTCGCGCGAGTAGAACTCGCAAAGCTCCGCGGGGCCGCAGTGTGCCTTGCCGCCCGCAATGGCGTAAGTGCCGTTGAGCTGCCGCTCAATGGGGAAGTGGTGGAAGCGCACGTCGTGCACGAGCGACAGCACGTAGCCGCCCAGCGAGCGCAGGCACTGGCGCAGCAGGAAAAGCCCGTCGGCCATGCCCGCCAGTTTCAGGTGATCCTCGGCCTCAGCGCGCGAGATGCTGCCGTAGAAGAAGGGCAGGTGCGCCGCGGGGTCCGGCATCGCCGCTGCCGCCCCGCGCGGGTTGCGCGGCCTTGCACCTAGCCAAACCCTGCGGGTTCACATGGGGATTGGAAGCACATCAGGGCCTGCGCCTGCCGACCGTGCAGAGCCTGCTTTGTGCCAGAGTCAACGTGGAGAGGAGCCGCAGCTTGCTGGGCATAGATGGCGGAGTCCCAAACTCCTCCCTTACTTTGCAGACAACTTGTGCGGCCTTTCCTACACCACAACTGGTCCCCACACACCCACACTTGGAACCATCCATTGATTGCCCAAACACGTGTTGACTTCTGACTGTGTTTCAAGGTGCAATGCTGGGGATATGGGTGCAAAAGGCAGGCATGGTCCCTCCCTGCCCTCCGGAACAGAGCACTCTAAGGAGGAGGAGGGGTGCACTAAGCAAAGAAAGGAACACAAATACTATTTACAGATTGAGGTCAAGATTCTAAAGGAAATAGGTAGAGTGATATCAAGAGAGAAAAGAGGTCACCGTAGCTAGACTGGTCACTTTTTCTGAGGCTATAGCACCTGAGTCAAGTTCAGAAGGAGGAGGAGGAGCAACTTTTCAAAGAGCATGGGGAGGCCAGTTGGGTATGTTTGTGTTCAAGAAAGGGTCGTGGGTGCCCTTCGTAGTTATGCAAATATAAGGAGGGGGGATAATGAAAGTTTTTGTGGAGTGAGAAAGGCTGCCTCTGCCCTGGGTGACCAGGGGCATCCAAGGATGGGCCCTGGGACTGAGAAGATACCAGAATGACACTCAGGGAAGGTCTGGGTCAGGGTAGTTGGAGGAAGAACCAGAATCTGCATTTTAACCAGATCGATTCTAACTCTGGAGTTGAGAGCCAAGGGGGCCGCAGGGTGGGTATCTAGACGTCCCAACAGTTACAGACAGGCAGGCATTCCAGAGATTAATAAGGGACTGCATTTGTGTCATCACCTGGAGACACATGTCACCATTCCATAGAGTGGGGAGGTGCTGGGCACAGTGGCTCAGGCCCGCAATCCCAGCCCTCTGGGAGGCTGAGGCAGGAGGATGACTTGAGTGCAGGAATTAGAGACCAGCCTGAACCACAGTAAGACCCCATCTCTATTAAAAATAGAAAAATTAGCCAGGCATGCTGGCATGCATCTGTAGTCCCAGCTATTTGGGAGCCAGAGGCAGGAAGATCAGTCAAGCCCAGAAGATTGAGGTTGTAGTAAGCTACAGTCACCACCACACTCCAGCCCCAGGTGACAGAGTGACTGAGACCCTGTCTAAAAATGGAGAAGGGAGAAGAAGGAGGATGAGGAGGAGGAAAAAGAGGAGAAGTAAGAAAATATAAAAATAGAAAGAGTCAGGAAGGCTACTCACCTGAAAGAAATGGAAATTTACACAAAATCTGTTCAGGGACAGTTACAGTAGTTGTATTCACGACTGCCAAAATTGGGAATAACGTAACTGTTTCTCAACAGATGAACAGATAAACTAGTCCAAGCCCACAATGGAAGACTTCTTAGCAACAAAATGGAACAAAATGCTAATACATGCAATAACATGGATGAATCACAAAGGCGTCATGTTGAGTGAAAGTCAGACTCAGAAGGCTGTGCCATCCCATCCAAAACCATAGTGAGGGAGAGCTCCTCCGTGGTTGCCAGCATTGGGGTGGGGAGAGGAACTGCTACCAAGGGGCATGAGGATTCAAATTGGGGGAATAATCTACAACTTGACTGAGGTGGTAGTTTCGCAACTGTATGCATTTGTCAAATCTTGGAAAGTTTTGCTAAAATAGTACATAAATTTTACTATATGTAAATTGTACCTCAGTTGTTTATATTAAAGGGGGAAATGAGCTGGGAGGTGCAGACATACTGGGTACTAAAAATAATAACTGAGATAGGAAAACTTATTAAGGACTGTCTCCACTCCTATCTCTTTACCTCTCACCCTCTCATCCAGCCTTGAAGTCTGCCCCTGCACTCCAGGCTACTCCTCAACACTGCTGTCACCACCAGTAGGTGGTGGGCATTAGGCAAACACTAGTGCCCTTCTCAATACTGGGTCCCCTGAGTGATGGACACTGGTGACCCAGTGCTGGAGCCTCACAAATTTCTCTGGTCCTTAACAATCCCCCTAGCTTGCCTCCTCTCTCTCTCTCTGATCATTCTTGCTCTCTCTTCCCTCCCCCACCCCAGCCCCTCTCTTGGGTCATCCTGTGTATGGCTACACATGCTACCGCACCCACCTCTCTCTAGCCCAGATCTCTCGTCTGAGGTCACTTTGTACTGGCATCACCTCTTTTGATCTCCAGGACTGTTTCTATTAATACAAACTGAGATTCAGATCTCACTCACATGGTATCTGTGGTTGGTTGGCTGAACCCCACAGTCTGTTTCCACATGAGCTGAGCTCTGAGCTCTGCAAGTGGCTCTCAGACAATACTTCCCAAGCTCTCCCTTGCTCAAGACCCTACAATCTAAAGTCCTCAGGGCCTTGCTCCAGCCGAGCTGTGCTACTTGCCCTCCTTCAAATTTGATTTCATACTTTCATCCATGCAACACCCTCCACTTGGTGGGCCCACCTCTCCTCTGCCCTCCTCTTGTCCCCAGATCCAGCTGCCTATCCTTGACCCTGATCCTCTCAGACTCATAGAACTGTTCCCACAAAGCCTTAGGGCTCAGGGCCAGGCAGCCAGGTGGGACTTGTCCAGGGACAGTGGGGAGGGGAGTAGGTAGCAAAGCTGTTCCCAGGGCAGGAAGCTGTGGCAGGAAACTGTCAGTGACACAGTTTGAGAAGCTCCTCCCCACAATGGCCGCAGGTGCAGCCTGGGTAGACGGAAGTGGGTTAGGGCAGAAAAGGAGCTAGAGGAGGCTGGCCTCAGGGAGGGTGCAGGGGCACTGGCCACCTTGGGCCCAGGCCAAAGGCTCCCAGAGGTAGGGACATTTCCCACACTACCTGCCAGCAAGGACACCGCAAAAGCCAGCACTGCCCTGCTCCCACCATCCGGGCCTGTCCGAACCCTCCTTACTAGTCACACAAGGGGCCAAGTTCCCAGGGACCCTATGGCCAGAGATGTGGGGCTGCCCAGAGAAGGTGGGCAGGAGGCAAAATGTGAAAGGCCAGGGAGTGAGAAGGCCAAGGTGAGAAGCAGGAGTGTTGACACAAGCAGAGTCTCTGAGAGCAGCTGCATTCAGGCCACACTGTACCCCCGCCCCCCAGGAGTCACCCCCATGAAGCCTGTCATGCCTGGGCTGCCCCAAGGAGCTTTATCCAGGGCTCAGGCAGAGCCAGGTTAGAAGTCCTGACTCTGTTGGCCTGGTCATCCCCCAGCCCAGCCTCCTCTTAGCTCAAAGTTCAGAGACCTAACTTGGCCTTCCCAGAGTTTATGGTGGCTGGGTCGGGTCAGGCCAGAGAGGGCCATGGACACCAGCCCTGTTCTCATAGTCCAGACCCTGGGAGGAGGAGGAAGATGCCTCCTCAGAGTGTCTGCCTAAAATTCCACCATTCAAAGGTCTCCTTTGGGTAAAGACAGCGTTGAAGCACTGTGTTCCGCAGAGACCAGAAACACCCCAAACATGCTTCAAAGGAAAAAAAGAGTCAAGGTCAAATATGTTTTCAAACACTGTGGAAAGCACACCGAAGGCTTTCAGAAGACCTGTATGGAAGGGCCCTTTTTAGCTATGTTGAATTCCTACACACCCCGTAGCAGAGCCTGGAAGGTCCATTGCTCCTGGAACATACTCTGAGTATCACAAGCCCCCACTCCACGCCCACTGGGACAGCCCAGAGGGAAGACTGAGGCAGCCCAGCTGCAGAGGGATCACGTTAACCCTCTGGCCCTGGCAGGAGGGGCAGAAGAAGCACCAGCTCCACACACCACCCCGGCCCAAAGCCAGACCGGTCCGCACCCACGGTGCTGCTGGATAGGATCTGGCCCCTCGCTGCCCACACCTCCTCCTGCAGACCCACCACCATCCTGCTCCCACTCCAGCTTCTGGCTCCCTCTGAACTGCCAGCCTTTGCTTGAGAGCCTGAGGGCCCCCTGAAGCCATGTTTCCTGGTCTCGACTCCTAGTCTGAGGTGCTCCCTGTGCCCACCAACAAAGGCAGCATTAGCATGAGTCTGTCAGCAAAATGCCAGATTGGTCACCCAATAAGCCACCATCGCAGCAATTAGTCATTTATCTATTTTTCCTGACACTGGGGGTCAGACTCGAATCATGGAATCGTGAACCCACCACATGATGGCAGTGAGGTAAACTCACCAGACCTGGAAAGCAGTGCCAGCAAAAGTGTCCGTCACTGGGAGATTGCAGGGATTCCACAACGTGAGACATGCCGAGCACCGAGCCTGGGGTCTTCTCTGCTTGCCACCCTCTAGGGCTCCCACTTCACTCAGGGTAAAAGTTCAAGTCTTCAAAGGGGACCCCAAGGCCTTGCACAATGCAGCCATCGTCTCCGCGCCCTCACTCTCCTCCAGCCACACAGGCCTCCTCAGGTCACTTATTCAGTTCCTTGAACAAATCAGGTCTGGTGCAACCTTAGGGCCTTTGCACTGCCTGTTCCCTCAGCCTGATCACCCTTCCCCCAACATCCTCCACTTCATTCAAGTCCCTGTCTAAATGTCACCTCTTCAAGAGACCTTCCTTGACCTCCTCTAAAAATAGCACCCCCTTCTATCTCTAGCCTTTGTCCAACTTTATGCTCAGGACATGAAATATGAGATTGTATCAACTTGATAACATGTTACTTTTATCCCTGTTAGAATGTAAGCACCATGAGAGTGGAGATTGTCTTGTTCCCCTCCCTAGACCAGCAAGGCACTGAGGTACCAAATACATGTTCACGGTGTGCAGAGGCCACAGACACGGGCTGCCTAAAAAGGGAGGTGGTCTGCTATGAAGGGTGGAGACACCTCTGTGTGTCCTTGGAACCTGACAGCCTGGTGAGAGATGAGTGGCCACGGTGAAGTCCTTAGCAGAGAGAATAAATGGCGGGTCTATAGCAGTGGTTCTCAACCTTCCTAATGCCTTCTAATGCCGCGACCCTTTAATACAGTTCCTCATGTTG